CATTTCAGGTGACTACCTCTTGAAGCTCATGGAGAGAATGCCAAGAGTGTGCAAAGCAGTAATCAGAGCAAAGGGTGGCTATTTTGAAGAAACTAGAATATAAAACATGTTTTCAGTTATTTCACCTTTTTTTGTTAAGTACATAACTCCACATGTGTTCATTCATAGTTTTGATGCCTTCAGTGAGAATCTACAATGTAAATAGTCATGAAAATAAAGAAAATGCATTGAATGAGAAGGTGTGTCCAAACTTTTGGCCTGTACTGTACATCAAAGCGCCAATAACACGTCTATTTTAACAGTAAATCAGTAACACGTCTATTTTCACAGTAAATCATGTCAGATCATGTGACACGTCGTGTAATTCGCACCAACGGAGACAAACAGAATCCTGTGATGGTTTTTTAAATTAAATGGAAACAGCTGCACAACACACTGATACAGTCAATTAAAATCACTCTGAACTTTCCGTACAGGCCCAAATATTCTAACACTGCAGTAACAATGTGCGGTCATCAGAATTTCACAGCACACCATCACCATCAGACAAAAATGGATTTTGTTGCTCTTTTTAACCTTTAAAAACTGTTTTAAAAAAGTCTGTTTTTATCAGCGGTCCCCTGCCAACACTGTCCCGCGGGGCAGAACGCTTCAGCCGGCTACTCTCCCTCAATTCATGGGTCCAGGCTGCCTGTAGCACCTATGGTTTCACTTTTATCGACAATTTTAACTTATTTTGGAACCGGTCCTCTTTTTACAGGGCTGACGGGCTTCACCCGAGCAGGCTGGGCAGCCGCATGTTAGCGGCTAACATTCAGCACGCTGTTCAGTGTGCCCCATGTGACTGACGTACATTGGAAGCACACGCCCCCTGCTTTCCTCTTTGGTTCATCCCCAACCCACTCCCACTCCCACTCCCACATCCACATCCATCCCAGTCAGAATCTCAAACAGATTTAACAGAACAACTTCACTATGGATCAACAGCAACCCCAAAAACTTAGTTCCTCTCACACCTGCTCCACACTCACCACATTGTGATGATGAGCACATGTTCGGCACGAACATTAACCTGGCCGTGCTGAACGCTCTCTTTTAAGTAAAACTTTTATCATAAATGACCTGATTTTAGATAACAAGTTGGACAGTATTCTTTTAACAGAGACATGGCTTGACACTGACACACCAGTTGTTCTCACCGAGGCCTGCCCAGCACATTTTAATTTTTTATTTTCTACTAGGGAGGTAAAAGAGGAGGCGGAACTGCTTCAGTCACTAAAAATTCGCTGCACTCTACTGAAGTTTCTTTTAACAGCTACTCATCATTTGAGTATCATGCCTTTGTTTTTAGCAGTCCTCATATTCTTCGTATCACAGTGTACAGACCACCCCACCATTCCACCTCCTTTATCACTGATTTTTCCAAACTATTAACCATAATACACACTACCTATAACAGAATTTTAATAACTGGTGATTTTAATTCACATGTTGATAATACCTCTGATACAATGTCCAGAGAATTTTTAAACCTTTTAACCTGCATGGATTTTAAACAGCACGTCACACAGCCGACTCACAACAGAGGACACACCCTGGACCTGGTCATAACCTATGGCCTGTCCACTGGTGTGTCCTCTGTTGTTGACCTGGCTGTGTCCGACCACTACTGTGTGTATTTTAACATCACCAGTTTTAGCCATCAGGAGGCCCCGGTGAGAGCGGTGAGGAAACGCTACCTAACTTCTGAAGTGGCTGCAAATTTTATCCAGATTTTACAGAGCACTCCTGCAGAAATTTTACCTGCACCCTGTGATTTTATTGTGGACAATTTTAACAGTAAATTAAAGTCAACACTTGACTCAGTGGCTCCACTTTTAACCAAAACAATTAGAATAAAACCTACACCCCCGTGGAGAAATGATAATAGGGACTTTAAGCAGCGGCGGATTTTGCCACAGCTACGGCTCCCGGAAATAGATCTGCGCTCCGCTGATCGAGACTTAAGCCGTAGTGCCGGTGTAGCCTGCTGTAGCCCGCTGACTCACTACGAGAAAACAAAGCATCTCAAGTAGTCGCTACAACGCGTGGTTAAATGGTTTTCATTATATTTCTGAAATGAAACGTGTTCTACAATTGATAGTGACACACTATATATTACATGTTTCAGCGATCCTTTCCCACAGACGCAGAATACTATGTATATTTCACTGTATAAAAACCATAGTGAAATATTTTCTGCTATAGGCTATATTCTCCCCTCATCCTTGCATTGCATACGGTA